TCAAAGAAAATTAGAATTATAAATAAAAATTCATCGTTAATCCTATTTAGCGATGAATTATTAAAAGATCTTATCAGCAACGGTCTATTTAGAGACAAAATGATAAAAATCATAGTTAATTCCTATTTTTTGTATAATACATAGTTTGGAGACAGAGATAGAGTGTCATAAGGTGTGAAGTGTTCATTTGAAATTTCCCATAGTAAAATTCTGGCTCGATCGCTGATATTGTTTTATATGATGTAGGGAAGTTATGAGGGATTTTGCTAAAAGATTAGAGAAGTTAGCAGAAGAACTCTTGGATTTGCTTTGTGAAAACCTTGGACTAGAAAAAAGTTACTTGAAAAATACATTTTATGGCTCAAAAGGTCCAAATTTTGGGACTAAAGTAAGTAACTATCCACCATGTCCAAAACCTGATCTAATAAAGGGGTTGCGTGCACATACTGATGCTGGTGGCATAATACTTCTCTTCCAAGATGACAAGGTGAGTGGCCTACAACTCCTCAAAGACGGTCGATGGATCGATGTTCCTCCCATGCGCCACTCCATCGTGGTTAACCTAGGTGACCAACTCGAGGTAAAAAATCTTTAAAATGTCTTATTTGACGTTTACTTCATCTGAAGTTTAACTTTTATATACTGATAATATACTTAGAACAAAGAAGGTTTGAGTCAGAATAACATGACTTTTTGTTGGTTGAGCCCTAATGTGTTGGATCATATCATGTGGACTATAAATTGAAATATGTCCACATTTTCATACCTTGAGCATCATGACATACTTTCTTATGGATAGTCTCTTATTGTGAAGTGGTCCGCAAAGGTTAAACAAGCAGATACATATAATTGTCCATAATAAGTCGTACTAGCGACTAAGCAACCTGATATAACATGTTAACATTATACTGATAGTATGATAGTATAAACCATAACTCTTTATACTATTGATGTATATAAGCTCAATCCTTTAAACAGGTAATCACGAACGGGAAGTACAAGAGTGTGATGCATAGAGTGATCGCACAAAAAGACGGGACTCGGATGTCATTAGCATCCTTCTACAATCCAGGAAATGATGCATTGATCTATCCAGCACCAGCTCTAGTTGATAAAGAGGCAGAGGAACATAACAAACAAGTTTACCCTAAATTTATGTTTGATGATTACATGAAATTATATGCTAATCTCAAATTTCAAGCCAAAGAGCCAAGATTTGAAGCCATGAAAGCTATGGAAAGTGATCCAATTGCAATTGCTTAGATTAAAAATTAAAAAAATTGGAAGAAAAATTATTTGTTATTGACATACATTATTTGTATTTTTTTTTGAAGTATAGTGGAATTTATATATTTTTATTACAAAGTGTGCGTCCCTACTACATGTGTGGTAAAGAGGACTAAAGTTTGTATCTTACACATATTTTAATACCCAAAAATGAGATGTGTTTCTGTTTTTCTAATTAGTTTTTCCTTAAATTTTGTTTTCCTACTTTACAATATGCTTGAAATTCTCTATACAGTGTAATTCTTTAGCTAAAATCGGTTGATCAAAGGTGGCTTCGCCGCTAGTGTAAGAAGAGAGTATATGTCAAGAATCTACGGATAAGACCATTGATGGACCATTATGTTATTTTTACTGTTTCAATTTAATTGAATACTTGTTTGTCTCAGCATGAAATGTTAGAAAAAAAATTGAAGACTTTAAAAATTATGATTTTTAAATATGTCATAACATTCAGATGAGTATAATTTTTTTTTTGAAATTTTCATCTTAAACATGTTATAACATTAGGAATTATGGTTATAAGAGCTTATCATTAAGGATAAATAAATAAAAGAAAATAAATTAAAGTTAAATTTAAGTTGAATCCTCTATTTGGGCCTGTAATTTGGAGCCCAGAACTAGATAGTTCAGATTAATCAAATGGGCCTAGTAACTTAACTACTAGAAAACGTACAAGGCCCATTAAAGCTTCTTTTTTAAAAAAATAAAATGTTATTCGATACTGCATAAGACTCGTTAAAAGGATAACGACATTTTTCTCCATATTCAAAGCTTTGATTAAAGGTGAAGAAATCTCAACTATCTCGTATAAATATGGAGAAGTATATTTTTGGCAGGTTGCTAGACCTTTTATCTATTTAAATTATTATTATTTTCGGACTTTCATTTTTCCACAATGTTTGGCTCATTTTTGGGACCATTTTTTTTTTTTTACCTATTTTAAATATATTTTCTTAGTACTTGATGACAAAATTTGAACTTATTATCAAGACGTTTGGAAAATAATATTGTGATTTTGACAATGAATGTATTGGCCTACCACTAAAAGTTTGAAAACATGCCCTTGTTACACGAGTTTCGCATTTTGTAGAGTGAGTGGGAGTGCTTGCTATAACTTTATAAGGTTTTACAACATTTTTGCCCAAAGACGTTGGAATTCTGGATCACCTAAAAATATTGTGGATTATAGCACACGAAAATGAAGGGTTTACCTGCTTCGGGGTTTGTTTGATTTTCAAAATGGTCCGTTTTGGTCGTTAGGATCAGCTGGATCCATAGATAACATCTTAATAGACGTCCATGAAAATTTGGGTAAACAAGATGTGGAATTCAGGATCACAAAAAATTCATGGATTATAGTACACGAAAATCGGCAAAATGGAGTATAACTGCTTTGGGGCTCGTTTGACCTAAAATATGGTCCATGTTGGCAGTTAGGGCCAACTGGTTTCATAGCTAACGTCTTAACGGACGTCTACAAAAAATTTCGCCAAAAAAGACGTCAGAATTTCAAATCACCAAAAATTCAGCATACGAAAATCGGTAGAATGGGAATTTACCTACTTCGATACTCGTTTGACCTTCAAATGAGTCATTTTGGCCATCAAGGCTAACTGGCTCCACAACTAACGTCTTAACGGACATGCACAAAAAATCTATTAAAAAAAGACGTCGAAATTCTGGATCATCCAAAAGAATCGTGGACTATAACACACGAAAATCGGTAAAATAAGAGTTTACCTGCTCCGGGGCTCATTTGAACTTCAAAATAATTCATTTTGGTCGTCATGGCCAATTGACTCTATAGATAATGTCTTAACGAACGCCCATGAAATTTTGGGCAAAAAAAACATCGAATTTCTAGATTACCAAAAAACCATGGACTATACACAAAAATCGATAAAATAGGAAATACCTACTTTGAGGCTCGTTTGACCTTGAAAATGGGTCGTTTTGGCCATCGGGGGCCAACTGGCTCCATAACTAACGTCTTAACGGATGTCCACAAAAAATTTAGGCTAAAAAGTCATCGAAATTTTGGATCACCAAATATTCATGGACTATAGCACACGAAAATTGATAGGATAGAATTTTACCTGCTTCGGGGCTCGTATGACCTTCAAAATGGGTTGTTTTGGCTGTCAGCGCCAACTACTCCATAGCTAAGGTCTTAACAAATGTACTCAAAACATTGGGGCAAAAAAGACGACAGAGTTATTGATCACCAAAAAAGATCATGGACTATAGCACACGAAAATTGGTAAAATGAGATGACCAAAATTTTTCATGGACGTCAATTAAGACGTTGACAATGTATCCAGTTCATCCCACGGTAAAACGAGCACATTTTAAGGTTCAAACGACTCCTAAAGCAAGCAAACGAAGGTTTTGCCGATTTTCATGTGCTATAGTCCATGGATTTTTGTGATCCGGAATTTCTGATACAAAATGGCCAAAATTTTTCATGGACGTCCGTTGTGACGCTGGCAATGTATCCAGTTCGTCTCGCGGGGAAAACAAGCACATTTTCAAGTTCAAACGAGCCCAAAGAAGGTAAACACATATTTTATCGATTTTCGTGCGCTATAGTCCATGAAACTTTTGTGATTCGAAATTCCTAAAACGAAAGACCAATATTTTTTATGGACGTTCTTTAAAATGTTGACAATGTATTTAATTTGTCCCACGAAAAAAATAGCATATTTTTAAGTTCAAACTAATCCAAAATTGATACAAGTGTTTAGGCGGTAATCCTATTCAAACTACATTCAAATTAGATATTACGTTTTATTGTATTTTATTTTTGTGATGACATTTGGTATAATCTGTCAAGGAAAGGACCAAGTAAACAAAATCTTTATTTAAAAAAATATAAATAAATCTTCTTTACGTTGAAATATGACATTGACTAATGATTTTTAGTAGCTCATTGACAAATGAATAATTAAATGGGGACAAATTCAAAGTTATTAAACTAATTTTTTGGGCATAATTTTATTTATAACAATACAATAAGATTAAACATCATACATATATAATGATACTTCAATACAACAATCACAAAATGTTCAGACAATTAAGGGAATTTTATTTAAAATTTTAACAAAATACTTAAATAAAATTCAATCCTCTATTATAAGACAAAAAAATTTAAAAATAAATTTCCTTTTTAAATAATAATATAAATAAGTTTTTTTTAAATTTGAAATAACTATTTTTTAAAATTTTTTTACGGGGTGTTTGGGCTCGTATACAAGGTGACACTTCCAACAAAATTTACTCAATATATAGGCTTGAACTCGACCTCTTATTAAAATGAAACAATCTTATCAGTTCACCTCAATCCATATTTTTTTTTAATTATTAATACTTGGACCATTCAACCAAATGCCTTCGAGGGGTATATTTTGATAACTATTGTCGAACGGAGGGAGTACTAAAAATAAAATTGCTCCTCTATTTAAAGACCATAACATGTATTCTTCTCCTTCTTTAATAATATAAATAAATTTTGTAAAATTTAAAATAACTTTTTTTTTCTTGTATTAAAAGCTCCGACTAAATTTGAATCTCATCTCTCGAGCTTATTCAAGGGTGAACTCCAATACAATTTTCTTCACATTAGAGATTTAAACCTAACCTCTTATTAAGATAAAACAGTCTCACAATTACGCCACAAAGCCTAAGTTGTTTTTTTTATTAACACTTAGAACCATTCCACTAAATGTCTTAAGAGGGGGTATTTTTCCTTGCATTTGAATCCTCCCTCTCCAATCATCCAACTTTCCTCTTCATATCCCCATATTTATCTTCTTTTCCCCATTTTACTATTTGCTTTTTTCCCTTTTCATTTTGTCTGTGTCCCTCATGTTCCTTTTCACCTTGTCAAGAGGTTAATTTTATTGTTTCTATATTCTTTTTGAGGGTTGTGTGATATATCTTTATGTTAATCCACATTTTATTAGTTTATTTCTGCAATTTTTTGCCAAAAAAATGACCTTTCTTTTGAATTTTTGGATGCCCATTTGTTAAAAAAGCTCAATTTTTGCTATTTAATGGTAAAAATTTGGCCTTTCTTTGAATTATTGGATACCCCATGTGTAAAAAAGCTCAATTTTTGCAATTTAATGCTAAAAATTTGACCTTTCTTTGAATTCTTGGATACCTATATGTAAAAAGATTCAATTTTTATACTTTTATGTTAAAGTTGAGAGCTTGTTTTGTGTAAAATCCAAAAAAATGTATGGAACCCATAGCAAGAGAGACATGGAGATTGAATATCAATCTCAAGTTCCAATTTTGAGGCCAAGTATACATGCCAGAAGGGCAAAGATTACTGTGAAATTTCAAGATCTGTATGGATTTACTGTTGAAGGGAATGTTGATGATGTTAATGTGTTGAATGAGGTTAGGGAGAAAGTTAGGGAACAAGGGAAAGTTTGGTGGTCATTAGAAGCTAGCAAAGGTGCTAATTGGTATTTGCAAACTCATGTTTCCTCAACCCTTAAAACATCCCTCAAATTCTCTGCTTTGGTGAATGCAATTACTCTCAAGAAGCTCATTAGAAAAGGAATTCCACCTGTTTTGAGGCCTAAGGTGTGGTTTTCACTATCAGGAGCTGCTAAGAAGAAATCGACTGCCCCGGATAGTTATTATGAGGATTTGACAAAGGCTGTACAGGATAAGGTCACACCTGCAACCAAGCAGATTGATCATGTGAGTTTCTTGGTTCAAATATTACATTGTTCCCTTGTGAGACTCAAATGATAGATTTTGGTTTTGTTACTGAGCACGATGTCAGTTTTCTTATGGCTTGGTTAGATTTTGCATTATGCTGAGACTTGATGTTTATTTGAAAGATTTGGTTTTGTTACTTAGCATGTTTTTTTGTGTTTTTTAATATGTTAGTTCTTGGAGTGAAGGGTTAAACACACACTTAAAGTATCCTGGCTTTTCGAGTTTCATACCTGAACTATCTATCAAAACATACCTTAGTTATCAATTTTTCCTTTTCCCTACCTGAATGATGATGATATTTTACATAGGAAAAGAGAACAATTGATAGTTGAGGTGTGTTTTGATAAATAGTTAAGGTAGGAAACTCTACTAATTGAGATACTTTAGGTGTTTTTTTTAACCATTAACTCTAGCTCTTTTGTGTGTCCTGACAGATTAATTGCATTAACGACTATTTACACTCGTAACAACAGCACTAGAGTTTCTTTTTCTCATTGTGGTTGGTTAACTGCATGACATTCTGCACAGGTTTGTATATACACAACAAGAACACCCAGTGTAGGGTTGTATTTATGCTGCCATGATATTTGAAGAGTGAAATTTACTCACCATGCTCTTTTAGGGTCTTTAAACTGATGTTTCCTTGTCTGTGAATAAGTTCTAGGAAGTTATGTTTTTTTTTTAATTTAGAGCGAGAATCACATGTTCTGCACAGTGCACATATACAACGATTAAAGCTCAGTTAGCTGACGGACAGGATTAGTTCATGTAACTTGTTACCAAGCTTGTAGTAAATGCTGAAAATTTTGAGATATGTTACATCTTATGCTTTGGTATCGCCACCTTTGTTATTATCGGAATATTTTTTTACTTGCAGGACCTTCCACGAACCTTTCCTGGTCACCCCTGGTTGGACACTGCTGAGGGTCATGCTGCCCTTAGGCGGGTCCTTGTTGCCTATTCTTTCCGTGATTCTGATGTTGGCTACTGCCAGGTAGATATGTTTTTTCTTAGTAGAGCAAAAGATATTATTTTGATATTCTATCAGCTTTACATATTCTCCATGCTTCCATGCTTCACGGTGGAGGCCATACCATCATTTGCATAAACATCGGTATAGCTTCCCTTGGTTCTAAACTGTTAATCTTTCAGTACGCTTGAATAGGCCCAACTTACAGGAATATGTACGTAAATATGATTTTAAGATTAAGATCACCTACTTGAGTATTTCTACCTTTGAGAAGTTACCTTCGGTTAGTCCTAGGCTTGTACAATTCTAGAATCATTTATAGTTGAGTTACATAATCCTCTCGGTTTAGAGTCAAAACAGACCACAAATCTCCTGAACTACCTCTTGGTTTCTCTTGTTCAGTGTGTGGTAGACAGTGATACATTAGTCATAACTGACTAGTGCTCAAGGATGAATTTTAATGCATAGTGTGAGCACATCCTACCCCCCCAGACCCCACTTGTGGGATTAACGGGGTATGTTGCTGTTGTAGTGCTTGTTTAGCACTACGTCTTTGTTAGAACCTCCTTGGGTTAAACTCACAATTTAATCTAGTAGTTAGCATTAAATCCAATAAAACATGCTCTTAATGAAAATGACTACTTAAAAGAATATAGTGTCAGAAAGTCCAGGTACATCTACCCTTAACGGAATTCTACTCCATAGTGTAGTTAAATGAAACCAAGAGAATACTAGAATTTATCATCAATATGAAGAGTAAAGATTAAAGGAAAGATGAACTTGGCTAGAGAATGTTGTCTTGGCCGTTTTCTTCTTTCGTCTCTTTTTAGTGAAGCCTATCCTTAGTTGTCTGTCTTCTCAAATTTCAACTCTAAAACCTTCTTTAAACAACCTTCAAATACACTCTGATGGAGTTTCAATCGATCAAGGAAACACTTCTCTTCTTGAAAGAGTATAAATGTGAAACTGCCTCTGGGCATTACTTGGCTGAAAACTAGTTCAACTCTGCTGACATGCTGCACCCATCCACGTCCAAATGCTGGCATAGCTGCAGTCAGCCACTGCCCGATTTGTACTATTTTGGCAGTGTATTTGCTTTGGAATCCAACATAGCTGCACTGGTTCACTACTAATTTTGATGTACCCAAATTATGCTTTATTTCCTCAGTTGGTATCTAGATTTCAAAGCTACAATCCTGTCAAACTTCAAGGTCCAACTCCTCTTGGATTTATGCATTTTCGATTTTTGAAGTTGAATCATAAGATGACCTCTTGATAGCAATTTTTATTCCAAATTGTGCTTTATTTGTTTGGTTGGGATCTTCAAGAGCTACAATCCCCTCAAACTTCAAGGTCCAACGCTTCTTTGATTATGCGTTTTCTATTCTGAAGTTGAATCACAAGATGACCTCTTGATAGCATTTTATTGCATAAATCATCGTTCTCCTTTTGTACAAAGATTAAGAAAAAAGAAATTGTTCAAGACTTGAAAAACTTTGTGAAACTGGTAAAGGTAAAAAACATGAAAGGATAATACTACTCCTGTCACATTTTGTTTGACCTAGTTATTATGTAGAGATTTCGCGTTAGAGTTAGATATTAGTATTGTTCTTTTCATTGTTAAATTATATATAAGTAGTGCCTTTCATATAAAATATGAGATACATAACAAATGCTCGACGGTGTATGCAAAATAAGCCATGTCAGACCATTAACCAATTATATGAGTATGCTTCAACAATCAATTATCCAATCACAAATCAGTTAGAGTTGGTTACGATAGAAGTGAAATCAGTTGATGAGTGATTAACACTTCCTCAAATTCATGTGTCTTATCAACCAAGTGTGGTTGTGCAAGTCTAAACTATTCATTCCAATTTCTTTTCTGCTTTTTGACCATGTTGATGATAAAGGTGATGTTAGTTTTGTTTTATTTATTCAACATCTCAAGGAACAGATGTTCAAAAAGTAATATATTTAGCATAGTTGCCTTAGGTTCTAAACCAAACTGCATGCAGCATCCAACTCCTAACAATTTTGAAGCATTTTGCACATAAATTTGGCTTCAGTTGTGATTGACTTAGAGAAAGTGATATGGAAACCGACATCAAAAAGTGGTCACTTTGTTTCACCAATACTCCCTCAGTCCCAATATAGTGTCTTTGTTCGATTGGGCATGGAATTTAAGAAATAAAGGAAGACTTTTGAATCTTATGTTCTTAAATTAAATGTGCATAGTCCTTCAAATCTTGTGGTCTTGAACTTGTCACATAGAATGTTGGAATTTGAAGACTTATTAAATATAGAAAGAGACGCTTTTTGAGACAGATTAAAAAGGGAAGTAAGAAACTTCATTTGGGACGGAGGGAGTAGTTGGTATGTCGATCTGGTCTAAATCAGTTGATTATTTTCAGGGATTAAACTATGTTGCAGCATTATTATTGCTGGTGATGAAAACCGAAGAAGAGGCTTTCTGGATGATTGCTGTCCTTCTAGAGAATGTGTTAGTCACCGACTGTTATAATAAGAACTTATCTGGATGTCATGTTGAACAAAGAGTGTTCAAGGATCTATTAACCAAAAAATGTCCAAGGTACTTATAATCTCTTCCATAAGTTTGCTCTTGGCGTGAATATAGATTCTTTACTAGTTCTGTTGTTTTCTGATACTGATGAGGACACATACAGGATAGCCGCTCATTTGGAGGCACTGGAGTTCGACGTTTCTCTTGTTTGCACCGAATGGTTTCTCTGCCTTTTCGCCAAAAGCTTGCCTTCTGAGGTCAACAAATTGTCTCTTTATCCTCTGTGTGTTTGAGTTGCTATGAAATAGACTGTGCACTATATGTTCTCATATGAAAACACCAGTGTACTATTGTTTACTGATTCTTCCATCGGTTACTTCATTACAGACAACCTTGCGGGTCTGGGACGTCCTTTTCAATGAAGGTGCAAATCTTCTATTTCATGTGGCATTGGCAATTTTTAAGGTAAATTCTTCCTAATATTAGGCATGTATGATAACTTCATCCGTCATTTTTATTGGCTCTCCGAGTTTTTCATCTGCTTAGAACTGAAATTCTAAATGTTAAAACTTATCCTACAATATTCCAATGACTAGATGAACGAAGAAGAGTTGCTGACGGTGCATCATGTTGGGGATGTAATTCATATAATCCAGAGATGCACACATCAACTTTTTGATCCTGATGACTTGTTGACGGTAATATGTTCTCGCTAGACTCCTTTTCTGTTTATTCTCATATCTTCAAATACCTATTTAACGATTAAGCCAGAATTGTAATGGATTTTTCCAATGGAGTTTAGTGTTATAATTAGCTGATCCAGAATTTGAAGTTTATGGGTTTTGAACCTGCAACCGAACCAGTAACTAGTCTTAGTTATTTGGTTTAGTGTTCACAGTTCAAGTATATTTATACACATTTAATGAATTTTCTGATACAAATACGAGGTTTAAGACCACCATTTATACACATCGTTTCAACCCTGAAAGTGAACCATATTCTTGACAAAAAAAAATTTCAGGTTGCTTTTGATCAAATTGGTTTTATGACTACTACTACTATATCAAGACAGAGGAAAAAGCAGGAACCAGCGGTCATGGCAGAGCTTGACCAGAGACTAAGGCGGTTAAATTCCATAAACGCGAGTGATGAACAATAGTTTTGTGATGGAAACCTTATAATTGTAGTATATATATATATATACATGTTGTATCTCTATCAGGGCATGCTGCCCTTATAGGACATCACAACCCTTGTGCTCATAATGCAATGAGCTAAACAACAGCTTGAAGAGTCCTGTTGTGTTTATTTATGTTGATAGATCTTCAAAAGTGTAAATTTTGAACTGTTGTATACTAGTCCTATATTATTTCCCCTTGTTAACTTATCCAGTTTTGCATACTTTCAAGAATGGAATTATTATAGATTGTGCTACTGGTACAATGTCACTAAGCATTTAAATTTTGGCTCCTTGAGAAAGATCATTTTTATAAAATAATATGAGAAGAATAAAGAATCATTTCTTTGAGAGTGCATATGTAGACACCTCTGAGAGCAGTGTCCGCTCCCTTGTAGGGGAGTTGGATAGTCGTTCTGCCCTTCGAGACCTTTTTTGGGTATAAATATATAAATGTATACTTAAATTTGGCCATAGCTAGCAATTAAGCATTCCGACTTTGAGAGTGCATATATAGAAAATTTCAATTTGGTAGTAAACACTCCAATGTGTTCCACTACGTATCATGGACACCCAATGTTGATGTCACACATAAATTTTGAAGGTGTTCGGATGGTGTATTTGTAAGTTGGGGTGTTCAACTAACATAATGGAGACAGTTGATACCTCAAATGTACATATTCAAAGTTGGAGTTGTTACTTGCCAATTGAGGCAATATTACAGTTTTAATATGGCACAGCAAATACAGAATAAAGTGACCTTGAACCACTGAAACTGGAGAACAAGAGGAATTTATTCCATTATATTGCAGTGTAAATCACTGAATATTTAGCCTAATGATTCTATAAAGATGTACAATTACTTGCCTTCACTTTTCACAGCTTTCAACCTCACTAGGTTTGTGTAGTATAGGATGCATATAAGTAAATTGGCAGCCTAGTGCACTAAGCTCTCGGTATGAGAAAGGCTAGAAAACAGTCCACAAGGGTCTTTTATACGCAACCTTACCCTACATTTCTGCACGAGGCTGTTTCCATGGCTCGAACTCGTGACCTCCTAATCACATACATCAACTTTACCAATTACTCAAGACTCACCTTCAAAAGAATGCATTAACGTACTACTGTGCTTCATGTAACTATCATGAGTTGTAGTGGGACGGAAAGAATCCCTCGACCCTTTACCAGAAAACCCCAAATAAGGTAGAGAGGGAGCTCTCTCCCTCCTTAATAGGCCTCTTACGGGGGCAGAATCTGAATTAGTCGGACAAGTGAACACCGGATACAAGATGGTTACTAGAAAAAGAAAAGAAAAGGAGGAACTGTCCTACTAACCAACTTCACTTGACATGTCCTCTTGAAAGCAAAACTGAGGACAACATCAGAAAGAACCTTTTTTGTATATATTTCTTTTCTTCAAAATTTATCTTTCTTCTTGCACCTCCTTTTCCACTTCAGAAGTTGTGGAAGCAATGTCACCATCAGAGGCTGCTGCTGGAGATGCCTCCGAACTGGCGTTTTCTGCAGTGTTGGACTCTGAATCTTCAGTCTTTGTTTGCAAGCTCCAATACATGATGCTTGCTGTGAGTGTCAGCATCATCTTCTGGTTCACCTGGATGGTAAAAGTTGATTGATAATCAAGAAAAATGGTTGATGGAAAGAAGCAATGGTTCTGCTATTACATGGAACTAATAGAAATGCTCTGACTACAGTCGAGTTTTTAGTTGCATCAACGTCTCCTAAGTCCATTCGAAGACTTGCAAACATATCTTTCTTGATATGAAATGCTAGTTCTACAACAATGACAAATCCAGTGTAATCCCACTAGTAATATCTGAGGAGGTAGAGTGTACGCAGACCTCACCCCTACCTTGAGAAGGTAGAGAGGTTGTTTCCTATAGATCCTCGGCTCAAAGACTCTATATGCAGTATAGCTCTGTATTATACTGTATATATAAAAAAACTTAAACCAAAAGATGTTTATCAGGTGTTACATCCGCTGTTCAGGCAAGCATAAGCGCACAGTTTCTTCAATCTAATATTTTACCTCTATTATATCCTCAGGCAATAAAAAGATGGAGCACCCGAGTTTACGAGCTACACTGATTGTATAATTTGCATTAAGCTTCTTATCCTCATCTGCAATGCATTTGGAGACATCAGTACATTCTTCAAAGCGAAAGGTAATTGTTCAGACTTTTCTTAACAACGTAATACATAAACAAGACACTCAAACTCACTCTAATTGTTTCGAGTGCATATCTAGACACCTCAAATTGGTCTCAACTAACCACTAAACACTCCAACTTGTCCGCACTGGGTCTCGTGGACACCAGATGCTGATGTGACACATAAAATTATAAGTTGGAGTGTTGAGGTGTCTAGATATGCATACTCAAAGTTAGAGTGTTTACTTCTCAGCTGAGGCCAAGTTTGCATCTCTTTATGTATTATGTCTTTCTTAACTAATCCAAAAATAATAAGGAAATCTTTGCTTCTCAGTTTTTCAATGAGACAATCATTTTTACTGGGGTGGATTCAAGAGTCTATGAACTCTCCGCGTACCAGTTCTACCCTTGGTGACAAGGCTCCAATTTACGACCCTTGGCTCCACAGCACTTAGAAGCTCGAGAAAGAATTTCCCACTTGATATACTTTTGTCCTAACAAAACAATATACCTCAGATGTCATGCAATATAAACTGATGCTAGCAGGTTTCATGGTTTTGTTCATCACCTTAAAGCTTTCAATTTGAGATTTTCTCCCTACACTCTTCACTTTACTGTTTGCCCAATTTAGTATGTCAGCATCTGTTATCTCCTTTCCAAGGGCATGAAATTTCAAGTTTATCAACAATTGGAGCATTGAAAACCTCATTAACTGCCACAAAAAAGCTGCGAGACAACAAAATGATTTTAACATTTCAAATCATAAAACTATGCATAACTGAACTTTTTGAGGTACACTTATGGTGTAGAGTGTAGACTATCGTCCTTATGAGAAACAAGAAGTGTTAATTTGCATGTATTCAACAGAAGTTAAGTTTTTATCGGATGTTCATTGTATGTAATGCAGACTGACATCTATTAATCAGGCTGAGCATGCTTTCAAGAACAACAACAAACCAAATCAAAACCTGAAATACGCAACTAGCTTAAAAAAGTGGTTAGATTGCTATTTTGATGTATCCAAAACTCAGTATCAGCACCTTCTCTTTGACCTGTTGTACAGATTGGAACTCAATGTGTTGTGTAATCCGTTGGAACATGTGAAATGCGTACATAATATAGATTTGATCAGCAATAGACCCTCGTGTCAAGAAAAAAACAGTCCAAAGCAGTTCAAAAATAAAAGCAACGGAATAACAAAACAATAGTAACAGAACAGAAACTAACATACAAAAGCATGATTTAGTATGAACTTTAGGTAACTTTCGATCATTATTACCTAGTATGAGCTTCTTGTTTCCTTGTACAATATCACTTCCAGCTACATTTACGAGGGAGAAATTCAGTTCTTTCCCAATGCTTATGACTTGATTGCAATTCTCAACTTTTCGAAATGGCATCTTAATTGGAGGCTTTGTTGCTTGTTTCCAATTAACTAATCCTTGTGAAATTTTGTCCAGTACCTCTAAAAGAACCCATCTGCATAATACAAACGCCAAGCAACATTTGTAGAGTCCAAAGTACATCTATCAAGAAGGCAACAAGAAATAACTCACCCGGTTCTCACGTCCTCAAATAAATTATTCACATAAGTATCAGTTCCAAGACTGTTAATCCACAACCGAAAGCATCTTTCTTCTCGAGAAGTTTGAGCATCATCCTCCATCATCACAGCAAAAGACAACTTTGTGGTATCTGCTGTCAATCCATTCCTATACCAGAGTAAAACTCACTTATAGACGGAGAATGTTGACAAAATAACAACTATGACAGGTTACTCAAAGATAGAACAATTTCAGGTTATCGGATGATCAAACCTGTGTTGAAATATTTGTGCAACGAATGCAAGATTTAGGTTCGCTGAGCCCTCAACAATGTCCTTTGGAGTTACATATCTTTTGCAATCTAGTTTTTCTGCTTGCTCAAGAATCAAGTTTGCTCTTTCAGTTGGATCTTCTGTATCTAATGTGCTGGTCGTACCATGTTCAGGCGCGAGAGTATTGAGCAAATGAGCATAAGCTTCTCCGTCCTATAACCAAATATAGAGACCAAAAACAGACACAAATTTCTTCAAAAAATGACATATATCCATAGGGAGTTCCTTCAAACGTAATTTTCATAACAACAGACACAAATTTCTTACCTTTAAGTCACTTGAGAAATTTGTAACCTCTTTCTTGTAACCTGCTTTTTTAAGATGGAAATTCATCCATTTCAGTAAGACTTTTTCTGGAGATAAGCTCATAAGCTCCTCTACTTCCTGCAAATGTTACTGCTATTACGTAATCTAGCACGAACGTTAAATTGTGCACAACTTTTGACAGAAGAACCAAAGACGTAAAACACGAAAAGTATTGCAGACCTGACTATCTTCCACAAGTTCCACAAGTTGTGGAGTTTTTCTCAGATTGAGATCAGCTAATAATTGTATCTGGTTTGCCACGACAACGATAGTAGAAAAGAATTTGTGAAATTCCAATGTATCGAACAAACACATGGACAAAGTATAATAGAAATGGTAACTACCTTGATTATTTGAGAAATCAACCCGACAACCAGATGAGGCTAAGAGAATAAGCAAAACAAAAGAAACTTCAGCATCTTTTGTATTGATAGTTATATGTTACGTAAGAAACACATGAACTTCACATACTCTTGCTTCGATTAAATCCTGTGTTCCAATATTGACCACAGTACAACCAATGGCCTTAGCGGAATTGAGGCAAAGGGTGTGGTTCTCATTCCTTTCCCATGGATTAAGAACCTTTTTGGTATTGATAGCACGTTCATCTATTGTTCCGGGGACAGCAATATTTATGAGCTTACTGCAACAAATGATTCAGTTAAATGATTAAGTAGAAACATGAGTGTCCAAGAATGTAATCAGAAATGTATGGTACCAAAGAAGAACACCATCTTTGGCAAGATCAAAGAGTTGATTGGTAGATGGATCTATCGGTAGGAAATCCTTCAAAAACGGATCGTCTCTGAGAAAGCTGTTGATGTGAGCTACATATGAGCCCCTTTCAGATTCACTAATGGTGTGTCGGAGTGTGGTTGTAGTTGCCTTGAGGAAAGAGGAGCTGGTCTTTGAATCACCTTTCGCTGTAGCCCGTGCTTGTAGATTTAGATATGCCTAACCAACAAAACACACAACTTTTGGTAATTCCTCTTGCTCCACCTTAAAACCAAGAAGGATAACCAAGAAGAGATACAGAGGAGTGCATCTTAAACTTTATTCAAAAGACTTATAACCTCTATTTGAAGATAGATCGTTAAACTACGTACAAAACTCTCACCTAAGATCCACGTTTCATTCATTTCCACAAAAAACTAAAAGACTCGAGATAATGATGCAAGGCGTACATATTAGAGTAACTTCACGAAACCAGAACTCAAACAAAACATGACGTTTTAAGTTTATACGTTCATTTCTTCTTCAAAGCCAAAGTTGTTCATTCTTTCAAGGCACAAAACGCTATTTGTAGTAAAAGTTGAAAGAAACAAGTATACAGTGAAACTATCTCACACTCACCCGAAGGAACGATTCAAAATCAATTTCTTCACTCATATCAGATGATGACTCGCTAAATATTGCCTTAATATCATCCTCATTTAGTATATCTTTGAAGGCCTTAAGTTTGCATAACATAGGTGGTAGATCTCCCAAAGTGACCTTCCCGGATTGATTCCTTGCAGATAGGAACTGTAATGAATCAAATGTTAGCAACGTCAAAACGAGAAACAAACATATATGCTAGTAGAAAATAGGAAAATAACATCAAATACACCCTAAAGTCGTCTGTATAAGTCAAATACACACTTTAACTAAAAGTGTATAATGTTGTCCGAGATAAGCTTTAATAGAGCGATATGATCACTGAGGATTCATGTAGCCAACCCTGACTCGTTTGTTAGGAGAAACATTCTTCACATATTACTCTTTAAACAAGTTACATTCTCTTAACTCAAGTACATAATAAACAACTATTTAGGTAGGCGTAAATTACATACTAATTAAGGTCGACTACATGAATTATATATCTAAAACCATTTCACAAACAACAAGTATCAGGTAACTTTGTCCACAAAGAATAGGACGTATTGGAGGAAATCACCTATACTAGTGCTTTTTTTTTGTCATCGTTGTCATTTGAACGTCTGAGACCTCGTGGTTCTTAATCCACTCAATTGACCACTAGGCTAGAGGCTACACCCTTGGTGCTTGCACTCGTACTCAATTATAACAAGGAAAAACACAGAAAGATTAAACTTACGTTGGAATTGAGGCCGCGCAGCTCGACTTGAGTGAATTGACTCTGTAGCCATTGATCAGAGACAACAACACCAACAAAACTAGACATTTTTTTCCTTCAAAATGATTTATGTAAATCAATCTCTACTTCACTGAGCAGATAACTGAAATTTCATGATAAAAATATGTCAAACACAGTAATTAAAATAGCAATATGACAATGTAGATTGATATTATTTAATCATTCAATGACAAAAGAAAAATATGATCTTTGATGAGTAAATAAAAAAAAATAATTCATGCAATTACTAATTGGTGAAGAAATTACCAACCTTTTTTACGTAGATCTCAGCGTGCATTTTCTGCAGGGGAGTGGAGTACAGGAATAATAAAAACAAGGTAAAAGAAAAGAAAAAATATATATATTTAAAAAATTATTTCCCAAAAAGGCGGAGCTACAATATTAAGTACGAATTTAAAGGAATTTAATTGTTTTAACTTAGATTTTGTATTTTTTTAAAAAAATTAATAAATTCATTAAATAATTATAATACATAGAAGACTAACTTTCACCTCATATATTTGAAATGTATTTCAATGAATTTTTGACATGCGAGTAGACCTTAGCACAAAGTAAAGAGACCATTGTTGGACATAATATTGTTATATAAGATATCATACATTGCAACGTCGTTGACATCGAAATGTATGTAGAACTCTCAAAAGATTTACTCACACTCGGTGTTTAAACCAAACCACGTCAATCGATCATTTCAACAGAATGTCCACTTAAAACTTTCCACAGAAGTGTAACCTGAGTACATGATCACCCTTCCAATAAAACAAACACAGCTTCAACCACAGTGAATGATATCGAAAATCACAAAATATAGACGCCATTTTACAAGAATCTATCAAAGATGACAAAGACCAAGCTTAGACAACACATTTCTTGAACCAAAATTCTCAAGACAACTATTAGAGTTGATAGACAGAAAACAGATGTATGGTATCCTTTTCCTATGTGTTCTTCTTGTTATCAGAATGTGACAGGGTATCGTCAACTGATTGCAATTGGCTTCGAAGATTCTGATTCTCTTCCAGGATCCTATCGTATTCAAGCAGCAATTTTTCAGATTGACCCTTGAGAGAATCAGAATTTGCTCTCTGAGATTGCACCTCCTTTTCTTTTGCCTCCGATTCTGATTCCAGCTGCTTCATCCTGTTCCTCAAGGAGGAGATTTCATCCCTTAAGGTACTGGCCTCGCCGTTCTTGATGTTGTCCAATGTACGATCCTGCTTCTTCACAGCCTCCATGGTCTTCCTTAGTAATCGAAGCTCCCTTATGTAATGGTGTAGCCTGTCAATCATCAGTCCGAGGAATAGAGAGAATCCTGCAAGAAATTAAAAGCATTTGAACCCCGTTATGCAGAAACTTGCTTCAAACAGATGATGATTAAACCGTGGGATCTGAATTCTACTAGCCATATCTACTTAATTTTGCATGTAATAAATGTCAAGGTAGTGTGTCATCATTAGATCATATATTAAAAGGATAATACATATTACATCAGGAAAAGTTAAGAATCTAAAATAAAGGGCACAATTATTTATCCAGAACTGGAAGAAGATCAGTTCCTCATACTCCCTATGGCTGGTGCTTGAGGGCCTTTCGATCTTGTGCAAATTTATGGCAGAGGGAGGGAGCATTTTGCGGTTCAACAGAGGCCCTAGTGCTAGAATACATCAACGAGTGACCCTACAATCTATGTTACACAATTTGTTTACAGGTTCACATCAGGTACGGGTATTGTTGTCATCGGTGTGCCACAATTTTGCTAATTCTTGGTCTACTATTGAAGAATCTGCACAAAGTATCACACCCTCATTTCATCCGTCGACACGGTGTGCCAACGCAAAAGGAGAAAAAAGAATCTGTGAAACCGAACCTACAGCTCAAATAATCCCAAAATGCCATCATACAATAAACACCTTGCTGGGTGAACTGTTAAGGTCAATACTACTCCTAAAGCCATATACCCCGCATGTATGAGCACACAAACAAAAAGGTAAGAACATTTCCAGCACTCAGACTGGACTGATTAAGTCATGGGCGGAGTGACAGATTGATCATTAGTGCAAGGTATACAGAGAAAAACAGTGAATAACTGTATATCACTATAACTTCCATGTTTAGGCAACTCTCGACTCAGATAATAAGACTTCCATATATGCGCGGACCAAACAAAGAAACACCCACGAGATTCCTACTAGAATAAGAGATTGGGCGACTTCTGTAGAAAAATAGAAAAATACATCTTTCTGTAAGGTTTCTACTTTTGGTACACTTGTTGTGTACAGGTGTTTTTTATGCCCTTCATTTATCCGCCTATACTTGCCAGATAACTCCACTAAAGCTAGATATCTGTCCCAACAACCTCGAATATCAAGAGGTTACTAGGGATTGGGTGCTTGATTCCTTAGTTTAGCTAAGGATTTAGATGTAGAATTTGAGCTATTGCTTCCCTACCTTAAGCTGAGCAAATTACAGGCCAAATATACTGCAATCACGCAGACCTTTCACGAGAATTCTCTATGTCATGAGCATGCGGCTAGTGTCCATAACAATCAACAAGAAAGACTGAGATACAAGCATATTAGTCTCCATTAAGAATAGAACTCCCTCCATCTTGTAAGCAAATCTCTCCAATAACAGTCTTGGGGGGCAAAAACAATATATGTGCCCTAGTTTTTCTCTGTTTTACACTGTGGAATCAAATCAAACAGGAAAAAATGGAGGGGGCGGGGTTTACAATAAGTTGCGTGGACTCTTCACTTTCGGCCATGTCGGGTTCTCCAAAAACACACTACTTTTGGAGAATCCGACACGCACCCATTGACATTTTTTAAGAATCCGGGCAACATGGTTTACACAGTACCAGCATTGTGGAAACAAAATTTAGACAACTGGTGGCGTCGGAAGCATATAACCTTTCATGTTCTATACTATCTTATGCCATGCTGGAGAAAAAGATGATTTCAAGATCTTTCTGACAATTCCTGCATCACACCTTGCTTGAAGAAGTGCATTGCGCAGCAGCTTCAGAGAATCACCAACTCTTAATAAGGTGAATAAATGAACTTCGCGAGCAGAATCACAAAAATTCTTCAATGGGTTCGTCAGCCCTTGGGCATGATTCTGATCCATTAAACTAGATGTCCTAATGTATTATATTTTTCGGTTCCCCTCTTGCTAAATTGTCTCATTAACACTCCCTGAGCCAATATTCATAAGATCTTCTCCTTAAGGATCATTTCTCCAATCAGAGAATCTGTATGTTCAGTTTTAGTTGAAGAGATGCACATTCCTGCAACTTCCTATGTTCCCTTGACGAGATTGCACACAACATGACTGTCTTTAAAACGTTCGCATCTAGAAATATATAATTTTTCTCTTTAAGCAATCTCTAAACCGGGTTAATTTTATCAACAGGTGCAAGTTACTGCTGGGCCCATTACTATTTTGCGGCTGATGTGAATTTCAGAGAGGCAGAACGTTTCCATGAGAAGGTTTTAATACAAGAGAGCTAGGAGCCAAAGAATGCTACTATAGGCCTATGAACTCATGGAAGATTAGCTTGGAACGATGTCTGAATCTTGGAACGATGTCTGAAGTAATTAACTTGTTACAGGCTCAAAATTTGAAGAAAAAAACAAATGAAGAACGGCTCGCTTAGTGGATGTTATCCTATCTAATCAAAACCATTTCATAGTCGCCACCAAGAGAAGCTTGAGATGCTAATGTAACCAGCGCAGGTATATTAACAACTGGAAATCCTTTTAAGCAACAGCTGAACAATTGAGGTGAACTGTGTTCATCTGGTCAATACTTCTTCGATGCTATAGCCAAGTCTAAGCAAGAATCTTCATTACTTGCTTCCATCAATTCGGTATTGAATTCTTACCTGGGTTCTGTTATTACTACTTCTCTAATTCTTCTGGAGTTCGGATAATTTAATTGATTACAGCAAAGATTCAAGCCCCTAATGCTTGGGTCTGCATTCTAGATTTTTGATCACCAATACTACATATTCCCCTATCCTTCCTGTTTATTTTAAGCTCCACCCAATCTACATCAGTGGCAGTGAAGTTCAGTATAAACTATAAACATATACTCCTTCCATTTCAATCTGTTTGTGCTATTGTAACTTGGCAGAGTTAAGAAAGTAAAGTATACTTGTGAATCTTGTGGTCTTACATTAAGGATATGTCAAATGTATTGAATGCCCTTTAATCTTGTGAACATGCCAAGTGGAAAGTTGGAAACAAAGAGATGTTAAAAAAGGAAAAAGAAAATCTTTTTGAAATGGACTTAAAAGGAAAGTAGGACAAACAAATTGAAAGGAGGGAGTATTTCTTTAAAATTGTTCAACTAAAGATACAGTTCAAGTCAACAAAAGTGATTCCAGTGACACTTGCTGCCTAAAGACAAAATCCGCCCTTGAACTCGTTACAATTTACTTGAGAACTAGTAACCAAAGGGATCACAACAGAGGTTCTGCTAAACATACCCGAATGTCCCAATTAACTAAATCATAGCATCTCTCACTCAATCCTAACTAGTTCACTTTGCTGCTCAAAATAACCATAAAGGGGGAATTCAGAAAACAACCCAAAACATGTTTAAAATGATGCGAAAAGAAACATACCCATGAATTAGTCATAAAAGAAATTCTATAAACAACTAAAAATAACCGGAAGAACACAAATAGAAAATGAACTACGACAACATACCTAGTATAGTACCACAAAGTGGAGCCTATCGAGGGTAAAGTGTACGTAAACCTTACCCCTACATCATGAGTAGAGAGGTTATTTCTGATATACCCTCAACTCCAGAAAAAAATGGTCCAAAGCATTCCAAAAGAAGTAAAGGAAGCGAAAGCATAGCAAAGCCTACTAAGAAGTTACTACAATAAATAATATGATAATGAAGAACAAGAAACAGCCAAAGTAATCAGAAATCGAAGGCAAGAAACCACATAAGCAACAGTATAACTATAGTATGGACAGATAGTGAGACAATGCACTATTACCTACTAAGCTTCTATCCTAATCCATGTCATCCACAACCTCCCATCTAATAAAATCAGGTACTTGATAAGTTGAAACTGTGTCATATCATGTCTAATCACCTCTCCTCCCACAATACTTTCTTCGGTTGACCTCGTCCTCTCCTGAAACCATTCACATCAAACCTCTCACACCTATACTCATGTATTAATCATCAGAAAAAAACTAACTCCTCAAACAACCCAAAAAAGATTCAACATTTGCAAAAAGGAAGATACACATGAAGTGATCATCAGAAAAAACTCCAAACAATCCAAAAAAGATTCAAAATTTGCAAAAAGGAACATACACATGAAGTGATAATCAGAAAGAACTCCAAACAAACCAAAAAAGGTTCAAACTTTGGAAAAAAGGAAACACACCATGAACCAATCAAAAGAAGAAACTTCACAAACAAACCAAAAAACTTCAAAAAAAAGAAACATACCCATAAGAGCAGCTTCAAGAATCTGATGAGCAAGAAGGATTTGATCGGTAGGATTCACAGAATCAGCAGGCCGAGACTGCAATTCCTTAATAGAATAAACAGTATAAATCATGATCACAAGAACAGTAGCTGCTACAGATTTAACAATCAACGGTCCACTGCCTCTTTTAACACGATCAAGACTCATAATTATCAGTTTCCTCAAAGGGGTTCTGAACAGAAACATCAAAATCAACCCCATTTCCAAGAACACCACCATGAACAAAAGCTGCACTTGAGGTAACATTTTGAATACACCACCAAATCAACTGCTTTTTTTTTCTGTGATTCAACAATTTCACCAAAAGGGGCTCTTCTTAACTAGTTAAGAAGGATTTTTGTACAATAAAGTTTGATTTTTGGTGAAAAGGGTGTTGATTTTTTTCAGAAAAAACTGTGAATACAGTGTACAGATGGTGTTGATTCTGTGTATACACGCGGCCTTTACGCCTGGCAGAAGACTTGTATGGAAAAAGACTAGCGTCGGCAAAGACCTATCCTTTTTTTTTCTTTTTTTAATCTGAAATATAATTTTAAAACAAAATTTCATATTGGAAAACATATTTCATTTTGTTTAAACATTTAAAAAATATATATAAAATCGACATGATCAAACATGCTCGAGAGTGTCAAGATATCTTCACAGATTATTTCGATCTTTCACATTCAAAAGTCTTTCTTGACATAGGGGAATAATAAAAATAATTTTACCCTGATACGAACTATTTTTTAGTATTTAGGGGTTTTTAACAAAAATCGTGCGATTTTCTTAGTTTTTGGTATGTATTAGTTGATGAAATTTTTTGGTGATATGATTTTTGGATACATTTTTTTAAAAACCTTTACATGATCCTTGGTAATGACCTAGGGAGACAATACATATAGTTTCACCATGATTCACAAAATTATTTCAGCATTTAGTTGGGCAATTAACAAAATTAAACAATTTTTTCGATTTCTTTTCATGTGTGTTTAGTCAATGAATTCTTTGTTGATATAATTTCAAACACTTTTTACCAAAAACTTTACAGGGTACTCTGTAATGACCTGGGTAATACATATAGTCTCGCTGTGTTTACATCGCTTTTTTAGTATTTACGTGTCCCATTTTTTGTGTGGTAATCAATGAATTCTTTTGTAATATGATTTTTCAGTACTTTTTTTTCAGAATTTTTGTAGGATCTCTTAATACGTACAGCCTCGCTAATGATCCATACCATTTTTTAGCATTTAAAGGTCATCCGTATGTTATTTTCTAAATTTTCGTGTGTATTAATCAGTAATTTTTTTTAGTGATATAATTAGTCTGGAGTAATAATAAGTATAGTCTCACCACGGTTCATGCCATTTATTTTAGAATCTAGGGATCACTGAACAAGAATTAAATAATTTTCTTAATGTTTCTTATGTGTTGTTAGTTAATAAACCTCATTGATTTGTGTTTTGGAAGGAAAAAAATGTAAAATATTCATAGGGTCCTCCGCAATGACCTGAGAACAATACGTATACTCACCATCATTCACATCACTTTTTTTTAGCGTTTACAAGCCACTCAACAAGAGTCAACAATTTTCTCATTTTTCATGTGTGTTAGTACATAAATAATTGAATATTTTAGCGATATTGCTTTCGAGTTTTTTTTATTTATAAAAACTTTACACAATCCTCCGTAATGACCTAGGAAAACAAACAATACTTATAAGTTATAACCTCACGAGGGCTCTCTTTTTTAGCGTTTAGAGGACACTCTACAAGAATTGGATAATTTTCTCATTTTCATGTGTATAAAAAGTTAATCGATCGAAATTCATATTATCAAAATATTTTACGAACTAATATAAGCGGAAAAATTTAAAAAATTGTCTAAAGAAAATTCTTTTAACTGTGTGTATTGAGACACTATAACCCTACATGATACAACCCTAAAGAGTATAATTGTTTTGTATATCTGAAATACCACAACATCTTACAATAATGTCTCTTATCTCTAAAAAGCTCAAATAAATCATCTTTGAGCCTTTAATCATCCCAATTATATATATATATATATATACCTCCATTGAAACTTCATGTATACAATTTTAACCTATAAATATTTACTTCAATGACCAATGTGTGATAGATGGTAGTCTTACAATTGTTGTATGTTCTTTTTGTGAATGTTAAATTCAAAAGTTTTTGTCATTATTTTATAAGGACATATTTAAGCCAATATTATAATAACAAATGTATATTTATCTCCTTTTGTTGAAGGATAACAAATTTGGACCATTTCACAAAGTTGATTAATATATTTTATCATTTCCCTGAATATTAAATAATATATTTTTGAATGAGTTAATATGTTGAATTTAGGTCCTAGGTCTAGAAGGATGTTTTACAGTTTTTTCTAAATAAAATTCATATAATGAAAGTGTTATTCCAATTTGCTTTTAAAGTTTTAAAAAATCATAATTATATAAAGAAGAATATTTGAAAGTCGAATCCATATATATTGTGTGAAACGTATGGCTCAAAGACATCTCTAACAAAAAAAAAGTTGAACGTGTTTTATTATAATTCACACTAACTTATTTTAACGTACTAAGATAAAAAGGAGAAAATTGCTAGAATAAGTAAATATATATTAGTTAATTAGCTAATATAGCTATAGTTTGAATTAATTATAGCTCGAACCTTAATTTTAATTGTTATTACGTCATTTCTTCCCTCTCTCTTACCTCTCTCCTCATTTATACATAAACAAATACAAATTATACGTATACATATATAATATATGACAGACATACAAATACAATTAGCCTCTCTCCGCTCTTTTCTCTTTGTCCCATTCTCTCTCACTTTTCTCCTCCCAATCTCGCTTACCATATATACAAATACATATGTATACTAGTTACATATATATAATTATCTTACAACTATATATATATATATATATATATATATATATATACAGTTTATCTCTCTCCACTAGTATATGTCTTCTCTCGCTCACCTCTCTTCTCCCTCCAAATCTAGCTATAAATCCTAATTAATAAGCTATAGTTATGAAATATAATTATGTTATTATTGAATGACTATAACGATAATTTTCCAAAAAATATCACGTAAACAAAAAAAAAATCATTACACAATGCAATACATAAAATTTAATAGTAAATTACATATGCTTGTCATGAACTTTTGTCATATAAACACTAAAAACATGTTTATGCTTAACACACAAGCATAAATACTCACTAGAACAATAAGGGTGAAGTTTATAAGGGAACTCATTTTTCGATATTGCTCGAGTTTTTCAAAAGTGTCAGTGTTGTATGTCAAATTTTCTAAAAAATAACTTTTTAGATAATTTGACATAAATATACAACATTCTTGAAGAGTTTATGCAATATAATCTTTAATTTATTTGATTGGACAATCAAACCCGCCTAATTTCCTTAAAACATGACATAATTAGGGAATAAACTTTTGAGTTCTATCCATGCTTTATTTTCTTTAATCATTCTAAAGTAAACACAATTTCCTGCAAGAAGAGGAAGATTTTATGTTAGTTAAAAATATTCTAAATTTAAAATTTAGTCAATATAATATAATGTTATTATTTGTAATACCAACTACATTTTATTAAAAAATCAAGAAAATATCAATATGTGTTTGGATATTTTTTAAAAAAGTTTTAGAGATGATTTCTTTATAATTTAATTTTTCTTAATGAAAATTTCAACTCCAAATAATATGCCTAGAATTTCTAGAGAAGAGAGAACATAATTGTGAAGATTAACTACTCCCTCCGTTTCAAATTTATTGAATTGTAAAACATATTTTATTTTTTAAATTAACTTAATTAATTTTTAGAAATGTTCTTTCAATTTTACGTTTCATTAGTTATTAATTAATGGTTAGTCATTTAAATCATAAATTTGACAATAATTAATAAGAGTAAAAATGAAAAGTTATGCTTAATTTATGTCTTAATTTTTTTTTTTTGAAAGATTGTGAAATACCTCAATAATTCAATTAATTTGAAAAACGGAGAAAGTATTAGAGAAACTAAATCCTGGTGATCAACCAAATATCATGTATGTTGATTAGATAAACACCCAACAATTATTATTTTTAATTTTTAAATAAATAAAAGAGATTGAGGAAAAATACCTGAAATAGCTCAATTGTTGGCAATTGTAGAATTAAACATTTTTTTTTGGAATAATCAAATAAGCAAAGACAAGGAATTAATTAATTACATTATGCTTGATTCCATTTGATGGAATATTTACATATATGTAGCTTTATTTATAGCACCTTCAACTTGAAAATTAATTAATTAATATTAGGACAAGGAGTACCTTTTTATAGGTTCATTGAACCTGGTCACTTTGCACGAATATATCGTTAATATGAAATTTTTTTATACTAACAATTTTTATTTATTAAAATTAATAAATTATTTAATTTTTATAATTATAAATAATATATATGTATATTTATAAATATCTTTTTAATAAGGTAAAAATATGTTACGATAACTATGTATATAATTTAAATTTATTTAAATATCAAGCCTACCTAAAATATCATGCATATGTTAATTCCCCTCTCATTTTTAACATGAAAAGTGAGTCATGGAGGGACCTTACAGACTGTATGACCTAATTCTTTTCAAAAAGTTAATTGGAATAATTATTAAGTAATGTTGATTCCAATATTTAATTACTTTTTGCTTTTATTTTTATTTGTTTATTGTATTAAAAAAAATTATTATTTTTATTATTCAATTAGAGAAATTAAAGCGATTTTTATCACTTAATATTTCTAATCATATATTTTTATATTAAAAAATGTGATATAATATAATTAACATTCTTTTAATTGTTTTTAAGGAGTATGCTAAATCAATACAATATAAGTAAAAATAGATGGAGGAGCTATATATTTTTGTTGTTAATGAAATGTCACTTTTAAACATAAAAAACACTTTACGAGATTTGTTTCTATAAGTAGATTGAGATATTTTTGAGCAATTTATATTGTCCTAAAGATAAGTCTTGTCGAATAAATAAAAGAAAAGATAAATTTGTTGTAATAGGTGAAAGAGGAGTATTTTTAATCAATATATAATACGTTTAAAGATATTTAATTTTTTTTAATCATTTAGTAAATGATCATATTTTTATTTTTTACTCAATTTATGAAATTTTGAACCTATGATATAATGATACTTTTATGTAAAATGAAAATATTAAGAGAAAATGTGAGACCATAATTTAAATCTTAGTAAGATGAAAATCTAATATTTTATTTATAAAATTAAATAGTATGTGAATAAAATATTATATTTGGGTCTAACTTGTTCAAAAGGATAATTTTTGAGGTTTAGTTTTGTCATTTTAGAAAAATTATGAATAAAATTTAAAATAATCGTCAAAATAAAGTGATTTAAAGAATATTCTTATAGCTAGTTAATCTTGAACTTTTTGAATTTCATATTTAACTTTTAACTAGAAGAATTTAAATTTGAAGAGGCTGAGATGGTTAAAATTGCTCAAAAATTATGATATTGTATATTCTTTAATCAAAATTAATCATATCCAAATAATCAAATTTGCCGTATCTCATATCTCATCCAAGTAACTATTCAAAATCGATACACTTAATTCACCGCTAAGAATCATTGAAAATTAGAATCATTATTTCAGATTATTACAAAATTTTGTCGAGATACTTAAGATATTTCTCGAAAAATCATTTGAGTCTTTATCCTTTTTAACTATGGTTTTAAAATTTGAAGATTTATACATGGGTCAAACGAATGATATAAGTCGTTTGATGTAAGTTTCGAGCTATAAAAGAGATATTTGCATAAATCAATTAAATCAGATGTTTCGAAAACAAATCGGGCCTTAGACTAAGAAAGCCCACTAATCAGCCCAAATTGCTTCCCTCCTCCAATATAAATTGAAAAAAAAGCCCAAACAAAAGAATTCAAATTTTTTCAGGAAAAACAATGGGCAGAAGACGCCACCAAATCATCTGTTCCTCCGACGAAGAAGACGACGGCGACGACGAACCTCAGCAATTCGCCGGCGGCAATGAAGAAAATGAAAATCCTAATAACATAGAAATGGAAATTCTAGAATCATCTACTAACTTCCAATCAGTTACCCTAAATTCTCCCATCCAGAACCCTACACCTGATCATGAGCCAAACGTCGACATTTATGAAGTTATACGAGCTTCGGATTGTGGTATTGGTCGGGTATTGGAAAATTTAGGGCTAAGATTGCGGAGGGAATGGTTAGAATCATGTGTTGGAGGACTTGAAGGATCAGTAGTAGGAGAGTTTTCTGGATTGGATGATACGACCAAGGCGAAACTTTGTTTCGAGCAGTTTTTGTACTCGGATATGATTTTTTGTGGTGCAGGAATGCTTCCAAGGGACGTTCACAAGCTGCATTTGGTTGATCTTAAAGGGCCCTTTGTTCTTCAGGTATAGTGAAAATCTAAATGCCGATGAAGTTTATTGCTGTTGTGGTTTCAATATGTAATTTTGTTAAAGCTTTACCGGCGATGAGGTGGGGAGAGTGGAAGTAAGGAAAATTGGGAATATCCCTCATCTTATACTGCTCTCCTGATACAAAATCTGAAATTTTATCACTTACTCTTGAGGGCACTAGTGCTGGATGTTTGATAGTTTCTCCTCCTTCATAGATGTACAGTACATAGTCTTTCTCTTGCATTTTTCGCATGGAGGTTGTTTCAATGCTTTGAAATTGGTGAGGAACCATGGAGCAACTTGCTGGGGTGTAGTACATTTGTAATACAACATTGGTGATACTAAAAAAGTTAAAGTTGTTTGTTAATTTGTCTTTATAAATTGAATTAGTTCAACTTTCATGTTTGTAAATGAAAGGCTATGACTTGACATCTTAGTTAAGTTTTGTTTGAAGTACCTATATGAATCCTTTTAGTTTCATTTCTTTATAATGGAAGTACCAATGCGAGTCTTTACTTCAATAACTTATTTAGTTATCTAATACATTGGTTTATCACAATATAAAGCTGGATGGACGACAATATCTAACATGTGTAACCAAAAGGGACGGGGCTTCTTTAATTGTGCATCGAGGAGAATTTGTATATTTTAGTTTTGTTATGTTTTGAGGAAGAAATTTCTTAAAGAAAGCTCAATATTCACATGGATGAGTAGCTTATCTTATTTTCTTCTTGATGAAAGTAACTCATAATTTCGTGTACTTCTTAAAACTATTTGGGAAGGCATTTCAGGAATTGGGTTTGCTGAGAAAGAAGTTGGAAACAGGCATTAGTTAGTTTTGGTATTAACGAGCTTCTATTGTTTTCTCCTTTTTCTCCTCTTATTTATTTGAAAGAGAGTATGGTTTCTTCTTTGTAAAGTGCCAAATCAGAAAGTTATGGAGTGATCAAGAAAACTTCATTACTTTCTGCAAGCAGTTAGTGAACAGAAAAGTTCCAAATTTATTAAAAAATATTGATCTATCCCATCAAAAAAGAAGTAAAAGGAAATTGGTGAGAAGAGACTCATCCAAGTTCTTGGGTTTGAAAATCAAAGTTCATTCGCTTAATTTCTTTCATAGCAGTTGCTTACTGAAACCAATTTGGAAAAGTTGGTAGTTCAATATGACATTTCTTGCAATTAGCTTTAGTGTACCAGAAGCTTCCTTAAATTTGGTCAGCCTATACCTTTAATGTGACTCTGACTATTCAAGTGTTTCATCCCCTTCTCCCTCAAGGTAGATGAGATTGTGAATATCAGTTGTCCTCTTCGAGATAGGTATCAGAAAGTAGCTGCTGGAATAAAGAGGTGTCTGAAATTGTCCATGACTGATGGCATTCAGCGAGTGTTTGGGATGGAGTACAGGCCTATAAAAGATCTCGATGTTCTAGCTCCTTCTGGACTGAAGGTATATCTATGGAGTACCAATTAGCAATTACTATGTTGTTTATTAGTTTGTCAAGTAGCTTTCAAAGTCTCATTTACAAGATGAGAATGGATAAGAATAATATCCGTCATAAAACTTTTTCCATATTCATATGGATTGTTGCTGCATTTTGCAGGTTGCTATCTGTAATGTTCATGTTAGGCATGGAATTCTGATGTTGGTCCCTGAAGTTATTGAAGTTCTGGGTGGGATGGTGGAAGACTTAGAAGAAGCAAGGAAGCGGCTAGTTAATGAAATAAATAAGCCACCAAGGGGGAAAAGGTATGACGAAGGACCAAGAAAACATTTACTGTTTGAACCTAATTACCAAATTCTGATATTGTTGGTAGATGCCTTATACAAGTGTTGAATTCACTTGAATGGCAGAGGTTGATGCTCAGTGCTAGCATTAGAGGACCCTGACTGACTGTATATTTGAATGTAATCAAATGAGGATTCTACTAGTCAACCCCAAGTCCCCAACTAACATGGATTATGGTGTAGTAGTTGATGTTCAAGTCTCTTCAGGGGTATTCTTAAGGGTCAAATAGATATTCTGATGGTCCTAACTTAAAGGTTAAAGTTAAGAGCTGTTTCTCTGAATCTTAGCAAAGTGGTACTTTGTACTCCTCCTTCCTTGTCCATTTTATTTCTTGACCTTCTAGTGAAGACTTAATATCTGTTGCTCAGTTATAGGCTTTGGTTTACAAATGAGCGAATAAGGCGTATTGTCATGATTTATTATTGTTATTCTAGAAACAACCTCATCACTTTTGGTTATTTAGTTACTTCGTCTATGCCCAATGCCAGAACAAGGTCTGGTGTGGTTCCTCCTTTGGCAACTAGAGCTATTGCTGCTGCATGGCCACGAGAAGGTGTTACTGTTCCAGAGCACTCTGATACTTCCTCAAGACAAAATATGCAATTTCAGGTTCATGAACGAGGTACTTTGACACCCTAAAGAGCTTCTTTGCAATTGGTTTAGGATATCTGTATATGTACTGCATGTTCATTTGTTTTTGGTGTAGCTTTCAGTGTGAAAAACAATGTGTGTGCTACTTTGGCTTATTTGGTTAAGCTGACCTTCTGACTATTAGTATGAGAGAGAAGATGATATTTTATCAGATTGCTCCCTTTTGATGGCTTCTCTCCACACAAGCTTGTGTTTGAAGCTTTAGTTTTTGGAATTTTTACTCTAGTTTGAGTGTTAGTTTGCAGAACATTTATCCCACAGTGATATAGCTAAGATAGTGCTACAAGATGAAAGATTGGTTCACATATTTAAATTGGAATAAGTTCTAGATATAG